TGATCATTTCGTGATCTCAATAACTTTCAAACAATCTCTCCACTTACTTACGCCTGTGACCTCCAATCGAGCATAGGCCGCCGACCAATATTCTACAATCCACTTTGTTTTGGGCTTTCCTTTCTAGTTCTATGCAATTTTTGTTTATTTTTCTCATGTCTATCTCGATTTCTCGGCGTAATATGTTCTTTGACCTTCCTCTTCCTTTCTGGCCTTGAGAATTCCACCTAGAGCCTCCCTGAGGCTGCTACCGGGCCCGAGCCCGGATAAAGGAGGAGGAGTGGGTGTAGGATTAGCGATCCCAGTTCTCGTTTAACGCTAACTCGCTAAAAAACGTCAACTTGATAAAATAATTCCAACCATTGAAACTACTCTAGGAGTTAGGAGGTTTTCATTTAGAAGTGTTATGACATCTTTTGATGAAAACCGAGTTCCTTCACAAGTCACGAGGTTGATATCTATTCTGACAACCAGAGCAACCATTAATTCAGGTGCAATGTAGGAGAACGGGAGAGTCAACCAAGTTTCTGCAGAAATAAAATGCTACAACCTAGAGATGCTTGGAATCAGTGAAATAAATTGAATGCAGGTTGGACAACGAAAATTAACTTCAGGAGAGCTCCTGTTATGCTCCGACCATGAAGCAGAGAATGTTTCACATACACAACGAGTCACACTGATCCTATTCAAACAATCATAAACAATTTTGATGAAGTTTTGTTCTCTAATCTAGATGATTTGATCGTGGAGCTTTCATCATTCTTCTAAACAACAACATCATCATAATCAGTAGCACAAACTTCAAACAGAAGCATAAACAATATCTACAACCTTATACTCCCGTCAGTCAGTCAGTTACAACGTAGAACTTCGTAAGTACGTACATCAGTTCGAGTTGGCATATTACATTAGCACACAGATACAATTGTCGGTTCAAATCCCGTAGTGGTAGTAAATTTATAAGCCGTAATCGGAAATATTAGGATTTGAAGATGTTATTCAAGGAGTATAATCCAGTGAAATAAACTTGGAAAGAGAAAAACATGGGACATGATGAATTGAGAAGATTAAAATTTGAGAGAACACAAAGAATGGATGCACCTGCACCACTGCAAACGATTTTGAGCCATGTCACATTCAAGGTCTCTAACCATCGGTTGCTATCGTCACACGGACTCCAACTATGTAGTCTACACTACCAGCATGTCTCAGTCCATTAGTCAGTGACATCGTAGATTTGTGCTATGTTTCAGTCTGGCCGCTCCTAGCTTTCTTCCAACCTACTCCTACACCAGAAAACATCGCACGTCGGGACAGTCGGTGGTTGAGCAGACGTAACACGTGTCCTAGCCATCTCAACTGATGACGTTTCACTACCCCATCAGTTGATTTGCCATCCTTACCTAGTACCCGTTTCTTAACAACTGCATTACTTACTCGGTGGTCCCAGGATATACGAGCAATGTTTCGACGACACCGATGATCGAATACTAGTAACGTAGGAATATCCTCTACTCTTACCGGCCATGTTTCACTGCCATATAGTAGGACGGGACGAACTGCTGCGCAGTAGACTCTTTCTTTGGTTAGTAGACGAATATCTCACCTACGTCATAAATAACGCAAGTTAGCAAAAATTAGTCGAGCCTTCTGTATTCGTGTTGAGATTTCGTCACACACCAGACCACAGGGGCTGATGAGACTCCCAACATAAGTGAAACCGTCGACACGCTCAGCTATTTCACTTCCTATCATTAGTTCAGGTGTCAATGCAACCTTATACTAATAAATTAAATATCAGTAATATTATCTGTTCATTATAATTTATGTACATAATTGTTACATCTTAAATAGAATAAGTTTTTCTTTTCTCTTATCATATGATTATCTCTTATTTAATTAACTTAAGTTTATCAAATTGGATATACAGCATCACCCTAATAAGTTACATTGTAAACAATAAAGATTGTTCATTGCTAATTAGGTGTAAACTCTATGTATATGTATATGTATATACATGGTTTTCATAGTACAGTTGATGATTGTCTTTCAAGAAATGATGAATTTGACCGATATATGTAATTCATGCATATATGTCACATAGGTTGATATATATATATATAACTGTACATATTGCATAATATTATTAAATTACGTAATATGAATTATGTAATCACAATGGGTCGATGAGTCGAGCTAAACCACCATGAAGAACCTGGAAACACTGAACGACTGTTTTATTCTAGTATGAAGCTCCTAAGTAGTATGAATTCATGACCCTTCGCACAGGATTCGAACCAAGAAACTTCGGTCTCGTGCTTGAATCCTTACCCTCTAGACCACTGAGGAAGCATTCAACGGTGTTGATGTCTACCTTCCATCGATACATGAATAGCCGTTTCGTCTTATTGTGGGACTCCTCAGAGGTGCGCATTCATGATTCCTGTCCGCAAGATTCTAGCCCAGGACCTATCAGTTTCGCGCGCAAACACTTAACCTATAGATCACTGAACTGGCCGACATCGAACGGTGTTTATGTCAAACTTCAACTAATCCAGGAAGTTGAGCTACCGTCCACCATTGTCCTCAGTGAGTTACTATCTCACAATAGACCCAGTTGAACCCCACCAATCACTGCGTCTCACTAGAACTCCAGGAAATAACTCTCGTTGACAGTCACTAGTGAGCATACGATGATTATTATGAGAAGAGGTTTTGTGAAGATTTTAGTAATTTTATAGTTGAATTCATGAGTCAATTGACGTTAGACCACGATTGAAAAACATGTAAACACTGAACGACTGTCTCATTCTAGTATGAAACTTTTCAGCAGTGTGCAATCACGATCCCTCTCGCGGGCTCCGAACGCAGAACCTTCGGTCTCGCTAGCGAACGTTTAATCCATATCCAACCATGTTAACGTCTAACTTCAACCAATACACAAAATTGCTTCATGGTCCACTATTGTCATAAGTGAGTTACTATCTCACAACAAACACGGTTGAACTTCACTGGTCACGTCTTCTCATCAGAACTCCAGGAAATAACTCTCGGAGACAGTCACTAGTGAGCATACGATGATTATTATGAGAAGAGGTTCTGACAAATAATCCATCAATTTGAAATATCGAGATTGGTTTTAAACTATTTTACTCAATATATCCAAAAGATTATCACGGTTATCTCGTGAACTTCAACTAAACAATCCTTCATTTTACAACACAGATGATTGATATCAACGGTTTTACTAAGATAATACCAAATACTTTTCATTGACTTAGATTATGCTTGAACATACAAACTATATGTGGAGTGAAAGAGAACATCAGTGGGGACAATCGAATGTATTTGAACACACACAATTACAGAATCTCTTAATCAAATCTGAGAACCATACAGTGAATACTTCACTTACAAAATGTCAATCAATCGTCTTCAACTTCATTGTTCCTTTGTTTCCACAGTAATCATTCTCTGTTCTCGTTCTCTTCTCTTCGATCTTCTCAACCATCTACCTCCAAGCATTTCACTTTCGATTAATGATACACATGCTACTTATATCTATGAGCATCAGTAATACATACTATGTATATTTCGACTACCTTAATCAACATTAATTCAGTCATCTCAATTTTCATCAATCTAAACAACAACAACAACAATCATATTTATTACACTATCTAATATAAGTAATCTGTAATTGAATAGTTGTATTGAATTAAGGTCATACGCCCTGAAATAGTTCATGGGTGGATCAGATTTTATTACAATACATGTAAACAGTGTAATTTGATCTCCACTCACTTCTTTTTGTTCTTTCAATGAACAGGATCGAAACAATCACTTGTATTCATGATGATATAGTCCTAGCGATTATTATGTAATATGAAATATGAGCTTTTTTTATTAGAGAATATTAGAAGTTAGTCATTTGAGTTATGATAGATTTTGATTATGGTGTATGTTACTGATATTGATAGATATAAGTAGTATGTGTGTCACTAGTCGAAAGTTGAATGTCTGGTGAACAGAAGGTTCAAAAAAATATCGATGAGAAGAGAACAAGTACAAAGAATGATGGATGTGAAAATGAAGAACCAATGATTTTACAAAGAGATTCTGTATTGTTGTATTCAAATACATTTGGTTATCACTCATTGGGTTCTCGTTCACTACATTAACAGTAGTAGGAATCTAATCTAACATTGATTGTTTCCTACGTTCCAGTTCTAAATCTCTGTACTGCAATCAAATTTCCTTTATATTTTTCACCTTTTCGTATTCATCAAAGATCTGAGGAATCTGGATTTCCACTACGAGATAGTCAGATTGTGAAGCTGACTGGTACAGGTTGTACTATGACAATTTCCTCAAGATAACAAATATGTCTTGATGACGAATACTCGGACAAAATCTAAGTTCAGAGTTTCCTACCGACTACTTACAAACATATATATATATATATTCACTTAGTATTATTTGCTTGTATCTTACCATTTTTTTAAAAACTGCATTTGATCATCCTCTTGTTGGCGTACCTGCATCCTGTGTGAACTGCCTTGATATCGCCTTACGTCACAAACTCTGTAAGCAAAGATGGATGATAACTAGCAGTGAAATTCAGGACGCACATTTGGTCCTACTTGGCATTTGTCAGCTGGATGTGTATATATCAATAAGAGACCGATGAATTGTAGTCCTAAACATTAATTTGAAGATTCAAGCAAACAAAACCAAGCGAATTTAAACTTCAACTCATAGCATAAGCAAGTGGCTATCCGGACTCAGTAGGTAAATGGATAACACGATGGTGTTTAAAGCGAACGGTATTCGGTTCGAGTCCTAGAGTGAACATCAGTTCTGAGATACAAGTACGTCTAACTGATGAGTTTCGAATACGACGAAACCGGCATTCTTGATTCCATTGTTAGCCACTATCCATCTTTGCTTATATATATATATATATACTTAATGGGGCATCTTTTTTTCCTATTTTACAGATTGTTATATTAAAAACTTTGGTTCCAAAGGTTTAAAAGCTGGTACAAATCTACGTTGTGCTTAAATTACTTTTTATTAAATCATTAAAATCAATTGTGTTATTATTATTATTGTTATTTTCCTTTTAATTCATAAGAATGATATATATACTACTTAAATACTCATATTCAATAGTTAATGTTGAACAATTTTCCATAATTTTTTCTTGCTCAATCAAATTTTACATTCCTTTATTTAAACAAAACCAAATCAATCAATAAACAAACAAATCAATCAATAAACAAACAAATCAATCAATAAACAAACAAACCAATCAATAAACAAATAAACAGATCGATAAACAAACAAAACAATCAATACACAAATCAATCAATACACAAATAAACAGATCAATAAACGAACAAATCAATGAACAAACCAATCAATCAATAAAAGGACATATCAACACCGTAGTTTCACCATTCGAATCTCATTTTGACATATCATGAATATCTTATTTTGTAACTTCTTTTCTATGTAAACCATCCAACCTCTATGGAAACATTGAAATGGATAGAGGGTTTGTTCGTTTCTTTTTTTTCTTGTTGAAACAATTAAGATGAGTATTCTTTTTCTTCTTTTTTTTAAGAAAAAAAAACAGAAGAAAATTATCATGCATTTTGTTATTTTTTTTCTTGTTTATTTCATATGTCGTTTTTCTCTGTTTTTCTCAGTGAGTTTTTTGTGTGTTTTGTTGTTCTTGTTGTTGTTGTGGTGGTGGTGGTGGTGGTGGTCGTCGTCGTCGTCGTTATTGCTGCTTGTTTTAATACCATTTAAATATCTATCCACTATTATTATTACTTATAACTATTATAAGTAGTATTACTATTAATGATTTTGTGAATAATGAGATTCATAGAAGTTGGTGTTTGTTTTTTGGGGAGGCGCTGGGGGGAAATGGAGGGTTATATTTATCATATTTTATAGTTATTCCTTCTTATAAAGAATAATGAATGTTTCCAATTGTTTATTATTTACATTTAAATATGTGATCAGAGTTATTCTATTGAAATACTTAATTACGTAATAGAAAGTTGTATTCAAGATTATTTCAGTGTTGTTGTTGTTGTTGTTGTTGAGTTTTGATTTGTTTCTTTCTGTTTTGAGCTAAATGGTTTGGTTATTATTATCACCAGGATCTATTTCATAGTCAGTTAACATGACTTAGTAGCTAAGTGAATAATTTGATGACGTTTAAAGTGAACAGTATTGGGTTCGAGTCCCAGAATGAACATCAACTCTGAGATGCAGATACATCCAGATGATGAGTCTCAAATAGTACGAAACACGTATCTTGGATTTCAATGCTAGCCATTATCCATCTTTGCTTATAATGCTTGAGATTTCAAGTTAATTAACAAAACCTCAATAAAACGATTTTTTAATCGGGTGTTAACAGATACGTTATAGGTGTATAACATATAGTGATAAGTTATTTATAGAATCTATTGGGATTTCACTACTTAAATGACTCATATCAGGGAAGAATAACAGGAAATATTTACATAACATCCTAAGGTAGTAGTATTACCTAGAATATTTAGCCAATTATCTCATACACATGAACAAATGCAGATGATAGCAACTAATGTAGCAGTAGCCACTGCATCAGTAGGCTTCAATATACACAAAGGAAAAAGCAAGATCCTCAAATACAACACAGAGAGAACCAATCCAATCACATTCAGTGTAGGGACCTTGGAAGAAATAAAAACTTTCACGTACCTAGAGAGCATCATCGATGAACAAGGAGGATCGGATATGGACGTAAATGTAAGGATTGCATAGCAAGGGTCACATTCCTACAATCGAAGAACATATGAAATTCAAAACAACTGTCTGTCAACCAATATCAAAGTCACAATCTTCAATACGAACATCAACATAGTTAGTTCTACTGTACGCAGCTGAAACTTGCAGAACTACTACAACCATCATCAAAATGGTTCAACTATTTATAAATAGTTGTCTACGTAAGATACTCAACATCCAATGGCCGGATACCATCAGCAACAATCTACTGTGGGACAGAACAAATTAGCTTCCAGCTGAAGACGAAATTAGGAGAAGACGTTGGAAGTGAATAGGACATACATTTCAGAAATCATGAAACTGCATCTTGAGATGTGCGCTAACTTGGAATGCTGAAGGGAAGTGGAAAGGAGGAAGTTCGAAGAACACATTACGTCAAGAAACATAAATAGATATGAAAAGAATGAGTAAGAATTTGAAAGAGTTGTAAAAGATTGCCTAGGACAGTGTTGGATGCAGAACGTTATTGAGCGACCTATGCTCCTCTTCACGAGGAGTAACAGGCTTAAGTAAGCAATTAAATATCTCTTACACTTCATGTGAAAACATGCATTACATCTTACAATATTCTTATTATCTACTACTCGTTTGTTATGTTTCTAAATATTTAGAGAAGTGACCAGATTATTGAAAATGCATAGCTTTATAGAAGATGGTACCATGTCAAACCCATATAGGTTATTCTAACCAATTTATTCATTCTTCTCAAGTCATATTCTGACCTTGTCACTTATTCGCTTATGAACCCTAACCGTCTTTATATGATCATATACATGTTAATTGCTTATCCTATTCATCAAGTGTTCGTAACTCATATTTGCCTGACTATAAATATCGACAAATACAAAGGTCAAAACGAATTAGCTCATTCATCGTCTCCGTTGTACGTCATTTCGTTACCCTGATTGTCTGTTCAGATCAGTCAGTGTACGTATTCATACTTCATTCTCGTATTTGGCTTATTTAATTCCTCTATTTATGGGCAACCTTTGAGGGACTCCAGATTGACTTTGAGAGTATCCATCTAATAACTAAGACTAATTGAAGCTTGTAAACCAGTGTGAAGAATGTTAATGATGATTTACATTTAGGGTTTTTATTACGAACATATGTCAACTATAATGCCAAAACTCTATTTATCCAAATGAATGAGTGAATTTCGCGCCAAAATCTGAGACCTGTTATCTTATACCTGATTAGTTCGTCCATAAATTATAGTCTCACTCCTTTATTAACTAATGTGGCTTAAGATAAGGATTATATACGAGGATTAATTGGAGTTCGATAAAGGACTATTAAATCACCATCTAAATACTGTGCTTATACCGTAGGTTATTAAGAATAAACCATAGTCGTTTCAACCACACATTTCACATCCATCGGATCATATTTACACATACACAGATTCCAAATTCAATTGTCCATCATATGATTGTTTTAATAGTTGAGATCATAAGTCAATTAAAACTAGACCAACATGAAAGATCTAGAAGTACTGGACGGTTGTTTTGTCCTATTGTGGAATTCTTCAGTGGCAGTGCGCATCCACGATCCCACACCATGAGATTCGAACCCAGAGCCTATCAGTCTTGCGCACTAGCGCTTAACCATTAAACTACTGAACTGACCGGCATCCAACGTATCCACAATGATTGTTTGATAAATCTATTCCTAAAGTAACCTAAACCAGAATATCTAATATAATGTTAAAATGATTGTTACCAACCTTTAAGATCAACTTCATTAGTTAATATTATCATAAATCACCTTCCAATCATTTGTAAATCGAATAGAGGAGATAAATACTATCGGTTACTATGGTAACCGGAATGCATCAACTATTTTAAATATTGATTATAATTATTTATTAATTTTTGATTTCCAACAACCAAAATAACAGTTATACGAAGTATCATAATGAAGTATTGATAGTTACATATATCCGGTTATGGTTTTAATTTCCCTACTAATATTGCGGTATATACTACTGATATCGATAGATATTAGTAGTATGTGTCACTAATCAAAGTGATATCTTTGGTGGCAGAAGTTTGAGAAGATCGAAGAAAAGAGAAAGAGAACAACGAAGGATTAGTGTGAAAACGAAAGAACAATGAAGTCTAAGACGATTGATTGACATTTGGTCAATGAAGTATTTGCAGTATGATTCTCAGATTTTACTAAGGGATTCTGTAATTTTGTGTTGAAATACATTCGATTATCACAATTGATTGACCATTGGGTGGTGATCAATGTCATGTATGTCTAGTCCTTATTAGTGCAGATCGAACTCTATCGTCTCTAACTATGAAGCTGGGTGACACGAGATCGAATCCACCAGGGAACACCAGTTCCCTCAAGATTACAGGTACATCTTGCTGACGAGTGCCAAGTAGCACGAAACCCGGGTCCAGAGTTTCCTGTCGACTACCTCCAACCATCATCTAATATCCGATTATCCTCACTTGTGTTCTCGTTCACTACAATTATCCCAAACATATTTCATAAATATAAGTATCAATATTGGCTAGCAGTGAAAGTGGGTACACCCATTTCGACCTCTTTTGAACCTGTCACCTTGATGTACCTACATCTCAATAGTTAATGCTCACTATAGGACTCGAACCTACTGTCTTTACAATCAACATACTCGTTCTCTAGTTTGTCCAATGGAACAAATTTGATGATTGAAACTCATTGCTTAACATCAACAATGACATTAGTTGAAGGTGTTAATATGGGTACTGATATTATGGTATGTGCTACTGATGTCGACTTATATAAGTAGTATGTACCATGTATCGAAAGTAAAATGCTTGAAGGCAGAAGGTGAAGAAGATCGAAGAGAACAGTACGAGAGCAATGAGTGATTGGTCAGGAAACAAAAGACATTTTGTCAATGAAGTATTTCAATAAGGGATTCTGTAATTTATGGAAGTACATTTGGTTGTCCTGTACTACAGTCTTATCATTATATCAATATTCAACCAGACATGAAACTCTAAAAAGAAAGTAACAACCTAACATTCATATCAATGATCAATATTACATCATAACTGACATAAGTTCATAAATTATGTAACATTAGAAAAGGTTAGTTATCTGTTTTGTCCTCAATCTAAGAAATAAGAACTTCTCATCTTATTCACATTATGACGTTGGTATTGGTTGTTATGTCAAAAAATGTATTATATGCTTCAGTTGTATTAGTTC